ACGACATGGGGGAAAAATCGACTTTTACCCCTATGTCGATGTCGACATGTCGACATGTCGACATGTCGACATGTCGAATGTCTCTCGACATTTTGATCCCTGGTTTTACCATATATGGAAACCCACCAATAAGAATTTATGTATAGGTTAAATTACATATTTTCCATCTCTGTATTTTTGTTATTATTTTTTTTTTCTAACTTCGTTTGTAAACTTTAAAAATTTTCAGTTACATATTTAATTTGAATTATGCATAAAAGTACTTGCAAGCATGGTTGGTTAATTTACTATTATTATTTTTTAAATGATATATATTTATAAAAAAATAATCTCACAATTTAAGATCRGACAAACTTAAAAAATTAGAGGATATTGATTAATTATAGTCATAATACATTATTGTTGAGTAATAATCACTGTCTATGTTGTATTTTGCGTTTTTCTATATCTAAAATTATTTTTAAATTTATATTATGCTAAATTTGTATCTTCTCTTGAATTTTGTTTCCGGGTGTTTGATCATTGATTTACCTACTTTTTATCCAAAATAATAATAATAATAATAAAATAATAAAATGATGTACTCTTTTTCTGTTTAGTACAATTTGAGCGTACTTTGAAGTTTGGAAAAGATTCAAAACAAATTTATAACTAAATTACTCRAATATATTTTGAGAAATTGTATCTTATTCAGCTCTCGTCAGATTTTAAGTTATGCTTACTTTTTAACYTCTATCGTCTTTCTTAATACAAAAAGATAGGGAATTAAATGAGTAAAGTACCTTAAATTCATGCTGACAATCTCTATCGTCCTTAATACTAATAAAAGAATAATTGATATGATCATGCTCTCACTTATCTTATTAGCCATTTTGCATAACACAAGATAATTAAACTAAGATGGATTTTTTGAAATATTTCATTTCGGCATAAAATATATCCACACATATATATATATATATATATATAACAATAAACAATAATTTTAGTTTCTTTAATGGAGGAGTTCTTGATCTCTCTTTATAAAGAATCTAATTTTCGAGAATTTTATTTTCAAATAATTATTTGTGATTTATATTTTGGCCCAAGGTCAGCCTTGAAGTTCTAAAATTTATATTTCTATTAACCAACAATTACAAACATAAAGGATAAAAATAAAATAAAATAAAGAACCATTACTGAAACTAGCACCAAAAACAATCAATTTTTATTCATAATATAATGATTATATGTCTAGAAAAAGATAACGCCCAATAACTATTGGAACAACACTAACAGGAATAAGAATAACAAACCTATCACACACTGACTAGAAATGATATAATTAAAAGCAGAACAATATAATTTTCAGCAGTCTATGAATATTATATTTAATTAAAGTGTATAAGATATATGAAAGCTGAATATCTCAAAAAAAAAAWWAATAATAAAAAATAAAAAGGCTGAATTTGCTATTCAAGGATTAGTGGTGGTTGTCTGGGGTGGGTTGAATGAAGGGATGGGTACGTCCTTTGGAAGGGTAGGCAAAACAGGCTTGGGAAGTGGCAGCAATTCAGGTAATCTCGGGAGTTTYGATTTAGGTACATTTGATAATTCAGGAAATTTAGGGAGCTCAGATTTTGGCAAATTTGAAACTTGAGATAGCTTGGGAAGGTCAGTTTAGGCACATTTGGAACTTCAGGAAACTTGGGGAGATCGGGTTTAGGCACATTCGGCAATTTAGGAAATTTAGGAAGCTCAGCTGGCTTGGGCACGTTTGGCAATTCGRACACCTTGGGAAGCTGATCTGACTTTGGCCATTCGAGCAATTTAGGGGTTTCCAAGGGTGGAAGATGAGGCAAGGGAGGCAACTCAACCTTCGGTAATGGAGGAAGCTCGGGCTTTGGCAATGTTGGTATTTCTRGCTTCGAAAGCTCTTCAGGAACAATCTTAGATACTGGCATCTCAAATAGATGTCTTGCGCTTACCGTCATGATCAAAGAATCAAAGCTCATCCATGCAAAAGCACTCACTATAATGAGGAGTATGAAGCTTGAAAAGCGAAGACTAGACATCGAAACGTGACTATACGAGATTATGGATTATTAATCTCGAAACGAACCCAATTTTGTTATGGTATATTTTTGAAGTTGATCTCCATTGCTTTCATGTGGAGGGTTTTTATAGATGAAGGATATGGGAGTTGGGGGAAGGGAAAACTGGTAGAAAAATAGAGAAAGTTAGCTCAAGCTCAATTTAGTTGCAACCGAAGTTAATTAACCTCCAAAGTTGGTTAAATAATAGATTCAAACGTTTAAATAATTTATTCTATAATAATTACTCAAGTCAATAAAGTTAATGATATATTTCTTTTTTTGGAACTAATCATTAGTTAAAAATAGTTTATTTGATTGGATTAGAAATCCTTTTTTAATGTAAACCTTCAAATTATTTTATTTTGTTTTGTTCAATTAATGAAAAGTTTTTAGTGTTGTCCTTTTTAAGAAAGAAAAAGGATTGTTAAAAAGTATTACTTTCTAATAAGGGTATTATTTTCACACATTATTTTTTTAATTTTTAATTTGTTCCTATTTTAAAAACATGGTTAAAAAGGATCTCTATTTATCCTTTTTCTTCAAATATATATATATATATATATATATCCTTTTTCTTCAAATRTATAATAATAATAATTATTATTATTATTATTATTATTATTATTATTATTATTATTATAAATTCTTTTTCACTTATAGTTGAGTGATCAATTTTAACTTTAAAATATACATCTTAAGTCTTTTTTTAATTATTTATTTACTTGTGCAGCGCTATCAATATAGACCTTTACATAGGTGAAAGTTTTAACTAAAGATATTAATTTCAAACATTTTTTAAATTTGGAGTTCGATTTATCTTGTTTTTTTTTTCTTTTATACGTATTTGGCAAGCTTTATTCACCTATTGTAGACCAACTAATATTAATTGGTCGGTTGAAAAAAAAATGGGTACGTCTCATCACCAAAAAACAAAATAATAATAATAATAATAATAATAATAATAATAATAATAATAATGAATTAATGGAATCTATCACATTAATTATGACCATTGTTCATTGTTGATAGGAACCTTCCAAGGAAGGTTTGTATTTGAGAGTGATGAGATCAATGGTTTAAACAAAAGTTATGAAAATTAAGAGTCTCTGCAGTTGGAAATTCGGATCTTGTTTTTCATTTTCGGGTTCATTGAATTCATTGGATTCAATGAATATACGTTTGACAGGATTTGAGAGATTCGTTTTTTAAAACTGTTTTTCGAATTATATGATCCAAACAATAGAAATTCTGAAAACGACTTTTTTATGTTTTTAGTATTTTCAGATTTAGAATTTGAAATTTTTAAGATGCAGAATTAGATAAAAATTTTGATAAATACATTACTTCATATTATAAACTCATTTTATGTTTGTTAAAATTAAAACATGTAAAATATAATGTATTTTAAATTATATAACCTTGTAAAATAAAAATTATACAAAATTCATAAAAAATATAATAAATTAATTGATATAAGTTTACATTAAATTAAATATTTAGTTTGTAACTACCTCTAGTTTATAAATATATTATAAAACATACCTTAAACAATTTTTTAAATTGAGATTCAATTACCAAATCTGCTATCAAACACATATTTGAAAATATTGAAAACAAAAAATACAATTTTGGTTTTCGTTGAATCCGTTGTATTCAAATTTCTGTTTTGTGATTACCAACCAAACACACCTAATCATTTCGGTTATCACTATTTTCTTAAAAAATACTTTAAAAAACATTTATCTTTTTTCAAAAATACTTCTAATCGCTCTAAAACATGATTTTGAGTGAGAAGTATTTTTTGTTACGGTGGCCAAAAGCACTCTCAAACATAGCCCTGTAATTAGGAACAAAAAAACATCGTCATATTTTCTACCATACAGTATGATATTATATGCTTTTAGCAAAAGGACTCATGCCTTTGATTTTGATGTTTTATTCATGAGCATATATATACCAATCGAGATAGTTATTGTCCTTACTTATATATCTATAATTTTCTGATGTCTAACAATCTTCCCATGAAACAATGTACCACATAACCTCCCTTCAAATAGTCATCCATTCTCGATTCAAGCTATTATTCAGGCCAACTCTTTTCTCTTCATAAGCACGCCACCCGTCTAATATCTAGGCTAGATTCCATAGCTATTAGATATCCAAGTCATCTCGTTATTTTTTTTTCGGGAGCACACTACCTACCCTAGTCGATGTCCTTTGTTTTGAAGCATACCGTCTAATACAACTCAACTACGTATTGATCACATTGTAGGATAATTTAGCATCATCTACCCTGTCAACCACTTGTTCGACGAAATCTAAGGATTGGTCGATAATTCCATGTGAATTCCACATGATTATGTCTTCGAGGTTCACGATTTTTGTTTTACCTGAGGATTCAATTGATAAGGCTAAGCTTGCCACTTGTACTTGAGGACAACCGACACACATTTCTATGTTTCTACAATAATATAATATTGTCTACTTTTGGGCATATATGAGCTATCGCATCTTTGTTTTTTATTTCACTCAAAATGTCTCGTATCAATAGAGATATATAGTTGTTTTTAATTACTAATAGATCCATAATTTTCTCCTTATTTTATTCAATGAGGAACTTTGATGGCACTCTCAAACCCCATTTTAAGTGTTGTATTTTGTCGTTGTCTTTCCTCTACTCTTTTTCTCTCTCTAACGTAGCTCCTCAAACCCATTATCTAAGGGGCCGTTTGGATCGACTTTAGGTTATAATATGGAGGAGTTCTCTCTTTATAAAGAATCTAATTTTTTAGAAAAAAATTTAATTTTCAATAAATGTGTGATTTATATTTTGGCCCAAGGTCAAATCTCGAAGTTCTAAAATTTATATTTCAATTTCAACAATTACCAAACAACATAAAGGATAACAAATAAAGAAACATCATGTAAACTGGCCAAAAAAATATATATTTATTCATAATATAATGATTATATGTCTAAAAAAAACAACACCCAATAACTATTGGCACAAAGCCGACCGGAATAAGAATAACATACATAGCAGACACTGACTAGAAATTATAATTAAAAGAAAAACAATATAATTTATATTTAATTCAAGTATATAAGTAGATGAAAGTTGAATATGCTATTCAAGGATTAGTGGTAGTTGTGTGTGGTGGGTTGAAGGAAGGGATGGGTATGTCCTTTGGAAGAGTAGGGAAAACAGGCTTGGGAAGTGGTGGCATTTCAGGTAATTTCGGGAGTTCCGGTTTAGGTACATTTGGTAATTCAGGAAACTTAGGGAGCTCAAATTTAGGCACATTCGGTAGTGTAGTTAACTTTGGGAGTTCAGGTTTTGGCAAATTTGAAACTTCAGACTGCTTGGAAAGATCGAGTTTAGGCACATGTGGAATTTCAGGAAACTTAAAGAGATCAGGCTTAGGCACGTTCGATAACTCAGGAAATTTGGGAAGTTCGGACTTCGGCACGTTTGGCAATTCAGGCAACTTGGGAAGCTCTGGCTTTGACAATTCAGGCAGTTTAGGCTTTTCCAGGGGTGGAAGATGAGGCAAGGGAGGCAACTCAACCTTCGGTAGTGGAAGAAGCTCCGGATTTGGTAAAGTGGGTATTTCTGGCTTTGGAAGCTCTTCAGGGATCTTAGGTGATGGAGTCTCCAATAGATGCCTTGCATTTATCGTCATGATCAAAGAATCACAACTCATCCATATAAAAGCACTCACTAGAAGGGGGAGTACGAAAGTTGAGAAGCGGAGACTTGCCATCGACAATTTTCAATAGGATTGATATCTCAAAATGAACTCGATTTGATTACGGTGTTTTGATGACGAGGATGATCTCCATTGGTATCGTGTGGAGGGTTTTTATAGATGAAGAGACGTATGGGGAGAGAGCATATGGGTTAGGGGAAGGCAAAATTGGTACAAAAATTGAGAAATCTTAGTTGTTCAACTTTCTCACCTAACACATATTAAGCTTTCTAAACTTCAGAATAATAATAATAATAAATAAATAAAATCCAAGTTAGCTGCAACAAAAGTTAACTCCAAAAAGGTGTGTAAGATAGATTCAAACGTATAAATAATTTATCCTCTTATATTTACTCAAGTTAATAAATTCAATGATAAATTTTTAAAAAATAATAATAAATAAATAAAGTTTATGATATATTTATTTACCGTATTGATAGTTAATTATTAATATATTATTTTAACACAATAATATGTAGGGTCACAATCTCTTAATCGAAAGTATATGTTATTATGTTTCAACTATAGTCGGTTTAATAATTTTTCATTTTAACTGGAAATGTTCTTTTAACGTAACCTTCAAATCATTGTAATTTGTTTGGTTCAATAATAAAAAGTTCTTAGTATTGTTGAAAAAGTTAGCCATTTTGTTAAAAAGGTATTAATTTCACACTTCTTTTTAAAGGTTTTTAATTTGGTCCTATTTAAAAAAACACTGTTAAAAAAATTCTCTATTTGTCCTTTTTCTTTTAAAAAATATTAATTTGTTTTCCTCTTATAGAGTCAATTTTGACTTTAAACATGAATTTTAGGTTGTCTTTTTTCAAAAGAAATTTTATTTTTCTTACCCTCTTACCCTAATAGTTAACTGAGCAAGTAAATTTTAATTTAACCTTTCAAATTTAAGTTTAGAAAATTGTAAAATTAAAAGTTTTGGGTTTAAAATTAACTTGTTAAGTTAATATATATGAGGGTAAAAAGTTTTTTTTTTTTTCCTCTAATACGTATTTGGTAAGCTTTGTTGAGATTTTGGTCAATTAATTTGTTTGCTTACTTGCCAAACAAACTAGGATCACGCTATCAACTTATTCTCAAACTTTATATGCAATTTGTTGGCCTAATCATTATTCTTTGAAAATAGAATCACTATTGTAAGTCTACTGATATTTGGTCAGTTGAAAAAAAATGGGTAGGTCCCATTAAAAGAAAAAAAAAGTAGGTCATATGGAATTATATCGCATAATTTATGACCCTTTTTGTCATGGTTATTGTTGATAGGAATTAAGGAGGTCTATTTTATTTGTAGGCTCTCTCTAGGGATCTGTCTGAATAGGACTGGAGAATCTTCGTTTAGATTTTCTATAAAGTAGGGATGGGGAAAAGTTTTTCCGGCCACCAAAATGGGGACGAGGATTTTCTCGTCTCTGTTTCCTGCCCCACATCATTTTTTTCAATATATATATACAAAATTAAAATAATTTTATTATCCTCTTTTTTTTTCTTTTTTTTTAATAATATTCTATTATCTTCTTTATTTTACTAAAAAGTTGATGTATTTTATCTACACACCCCCCCAATACATATGTTTGTGAGAATTAGACCTTGCAAGTGAGGTTTTATTTTTAGAAATTAAACAATTATATAAAAATTTATTTAGGATAAAAATATTTATTGAAAATTAATTTAAAAATAAAAAATAAAAATGGGGGAAATTTCCCGTGGGGAACCCGATCCCTACTTACGAATTTCGAGCTAGTAATCCCCAGCCCAATTCCTCAAAAATTTTATGGAAAATTTTGTTGGAATGAAGAATTAAATGGGGGTGAGGATGGGGACACGGAAAGGCTTTTCCACCTCGCCCCGTAAACATCCCTAATAGAAACCATTAATAAATTATAAAAATAGCAAAGTAGAAAATTCTTATAAAACCATATCAGGAAAGATCCCTGATGCTAGTAAATAAATATAAAAGTATTGTTATTTGGTATACTCCTTCCTATCATAATGAGTTTAGCTAACTAATAATTGGCACTTGTTAGGTTATGAGTTTGAATCTCCATCCCCACTTATTGTACTAAAAAAGTAAATAAATACAACAAAAATAGATTTAAATCAGGCTTATCGTAATTATAACTCTAGCCTCACAAAATAAAAATGTATGTAATATGTTATTGATATACAGAAAGAGAGAGAGAGAAAAAAGGATTCGACAGACCTTTAAAATAGAAGACACATCGGTGTGGTGCTAGCCACACACTCCGATACTTAAGTCAGAGTTAGGGTCTAATGTAAAGCATAGCAATAGGAAGAGTTTTTGTGGCATACCTTGATTGTGAGGAGGGTTGACAGGATTTCTTCTCTTCTCAAATAACGTGGATTCTGATGATAGCACTATCGTGGGCCAAATAGTAAAGGAGAATGGGAGTCGGCCCATCATTGGGCTTATCAGCGGAGCACAAAATCAGGCATGTGCACTGATTGGACAACCACCAAAATCTGGTTGGTCGGGACCTGGTAGCCCAGTTAATATAGTAGTAGAGCCTAAAAGCTCAAACGAGCATCCGATCCAAAAATGAGATTCGGCCAAAATCGATGAACCAAAATAGCCATGATCTTGAGGGGCATGTTAAGGATTAAGCTGTGATATAAGAAAGGTTCATAATATATCTGAGCTACTCTTCTTATTGGCTATTGGTTTTGAGATGGAACTCATGAATATTGATAAATTAGAAGTAAAATTGTGATCTAAATTCAGTTAAAATAGGGTCGAATAACTATTTAAAAATTCCTTTTATTATTTTTTAAATATAAATGAAGTTATTCTTCCTTTGAAAATGTTGAACTTGTGAATAAATTGTAATACGTACCTTAAAATTAAGGTCAAATTATCCTAAACTTTCAAAATTGTGTGTAATAGATCCTAAATTTTGTAAAGTGTCTAAATAGATTCCTAAACTTTCCATTTTGTGTGTAATAGATCCCTAAACTAACGATCTAATAGATTTCATAATTCTAACAATGTCTAATAGACCCATGAATTTTCAATTTTTTGTCTATAAGATTATAAATGTCTATCAATTGAGTTAGGTTCGATTTGGCTTAACACGTTGAAGTAACACAATTCATTTTCTATGAAACCTCCTTTGATTTGATCTTTTTTTTTGCAATAAAAAGTTGGATATGAAAATAATTGCTAGTCTCCTCTCTTTTTTCTTCTTCTCCCATTCCTCTTCACCAAACCGACCAAAATCGATCGACCGTCAGTGTAGTTGGTCGGTCGAAATCGTGGAACCTTCTAAACCCGACGAGCTCCAACCGACGGAAACTGAACATGTCAGTGGTTGGCGTCAGTTTCAGTCCAAAACCGACCCCGACCGATTGATGATCATCTCTGTGTATTATGTTGAAGACGTTTGCTAGTGCGTCTAGCACGTGTATATGCTCCCCATTACAGAGTCTTTAATGAGTTTGCAAATCGTGCGTCTGCATGTCTTAGTATATAGAACTATGTACGGGGTCTGTATCCACAACTATACAGTTGCTGAGGGCTCTAGGGTATATATAACATATGTCATTCGGACTATGTATATAGAACTATCTTTATTTCCCTTTCTCTATACGAATTTTCTCATTCTTACATTGCCTGAAGAACGTGTCTGGTGCATCTAAAATGGGTATGTGCTTCTCATTACAAATTCTCTGTCGAGTTTAAAGGCTGTCACACTCTGACTTCTTACAATTTGAAAAAAGATGAATTTCTCTTTTGGTGGCTGTTTTACTTATAATTCTGATTGTCCTTTTCAATCATCTTCTTCATCTTCTACTTATTTCTTTCAACTCTCAACAATTATATTACCTTGAATATCAACTCCTTCAATGTTTGCTTCTAATTTTTGCAAATTAGGGCTCAAATGCAAATTAAAATTGGGATCAAATGACACAATTCACACTGTCAAAGAATCAAGCTAGGGTAGAGTTTCATTTCGAACGGATGTGACAACAAATGGTTTGGATAACATATTTTGTGGCAGAAAACCATCCAGGAGAAGAAAAAATTTCTTCCATTCTTCTATTGTTAAATTGAATTCTTCTTATAATTCGAATGCTTATTAGATGAAATTTTGATCACAGAATCGGAGGCTCAATCTCTACAAGTCATTCTCATTTGTTTATTCTTCCATGTCTGAAGGAACTTGAGATTGTTGGGTTGATAAAAAATTAGTTAGATTTATTTTGTAATTTAATTAGTTTAGGGTGGTTATGCAAGCTAGGGAAGATTTAATATGATTTTTTATTAGTTTGAAAGATATTTCAAATCAGTTTGATTACGATTTGAGATTCATAACTAACAGAATTTGTGGCTCCTTAAATGTGGGAGGGGTAAAATTGACAAATGACATACTGACAATTTCCGTAAACCCAGAGTTAGATGTGGCATTTCTCATTCCTTAGGGAGTGAGAGGGCTAAGGGGAAAGGGTTGGTTGCCCCTTACGCGCTTTTTTAGGAGGAGTTCAGTGTAGTCGGATGGAAGGGAAGCGCATATCGGAAACGAATCGGCCCAATATTTATAATTGTGCTAATTTATAATGGATAGATAAAATATATAGCAACATCTAATATACGAATATTATTGAATATTGGAATTAAAAGAACAAAATTGGGAAGTACCGGTGTTGTACCCTTTTTAGTTTTTCAAAAAAAAAACAACTTTTAAATTACGTAAATATGGCAAAATGTTTGAAATTTGATTTTTAGATTTTTAGTTATTTTGATTTTACCCATTCAGATTTTTAGATATATCAATGATATATCTATATTATATCAATTAAATTGTGGATAAATTTCTTTGAAATTACTTCATGAACTTCAATATTTGTTGATGAAAGATAACTCAACATCTTGACTAACATTGAGAAATCTATCATCAACTGGTTTTACATTTCCATTGATCATTCTTTTTCAAAATGTGCTCCAATCTTGTGATAGTTCCATTATATACATCATCGTCTAAATTTGAGATCCCTAGGAAAAAATATATATATATATATATATATATATATATTAGAAAACAACTAGATATAAAATAGAAATACATTAAAACGAAATAAATAATCCCAAAATAATTTTATGAATAAACAATAAATCTTCATTGGAAAAAATACCTCTTCATAAATCAAAATTATCAATTGTTTCTCTTCTGAGTTATCTTTGAATTACAATGATTTTTATTATCAATTCTTTTTCAATCTGCTCTAACTTTTTCAACAAAACATATTTTTCTATATAACTGTTGAAAAACAAAGAAGTGATTGTAATACAGAATGAAAAAAATAACCGAAGAGTGTTCTCGGGTCAAACCCGACCCGACTTGAATCCGGTTTTTTTCCCCTTTCCTCCCTTCTCTTCTTATTCTCCTCCTCCTTCTAACCCTAGGGGTTTTTCCTCTATTTCATGAACCAAAAAACCAAAAAAAGAGAAATGGTCAAATTGTTTTTTTTTTTTTGTTTTTTCAAAAGGAACAGAAAAATAAAAGCCCCCAAGACCTCAATTGTTTTTTCCCTGTTTGATTTTTGTGGGTGGAATTGTTTATTTTTTTTCTCTCTTTCAAAAGAAGGGAAAAACAGAGATGAAATCGACATTTTTGTTGAGCAATTTCATATGGTATTGTTCAAAAATCCCCAAATTAGCAGCAGAAACCTTTGATCTTGATCATACCCATCTCAAATCCTCTAATCGAAAAGCCTCCCAAGAACTCAAACGCAGGCTCGCCGCTGCCTCCACTGACTCCAACGTTCGACTCCCGCCGTGTGTCGTTGCCGGTAGAAATGCCGCGAAGGTTCACGCTTTAGCTCCAGCTGGCGAGAGAGAGTGACCAAAAGGAAAACAAGAGAGAGAGGATGGGGCAACATGGGTTGGTGTTAGTTGGAGTTGGAGCAGCGTGGGTGTTGTGAAGTGAGGGGAGAAAGAGTTAGGGTTTATAAACGAAACTCTAATTCGATTAAAATCGAACCGAATCGAATAATTTTAATTCCGTCTTTAAACCAAACCGATCGGTTTGATTCGGTTTTATTTTTTCTCTCCTATAAAAAATGATGAATATGAGTTAGGTCTCAACCGCAGACAATTCATATATATATATATGGTAAAAATGTGAGAAAACAAAAAAAGCGTCTGGTCAAGGTTTATGACAAATGTCCAAAATTTTATTTTATAAAATTGATTTTGTGATATTAATATTTTAACTGGAATTAGATTATGGAAGAAGCTAGAAAGTTTTTTAATTATATATATATATATATATATATATAAAATTTGAGTGTTTGTTGTAATTGAGAGAATAAAAATCAATTAATTTAAATTAGAATCATGTGATTTTAAATCACTTACTAACCTATATAAGTGTTAAATAAAAGTAAAAAAATGAATGAAAACAAAACTTCCCGACAATATTCAATGTCTAAGCTTTTTAAATTACGTTGATTTGCAAAATTTGGTAACAAACTTTTGAAAATATAGATTATATCCTCACTCTACGTGACAAATATTGTTAAATAGTGATTCACAATCAATCCCATCTTAATTGGTTAATTTGCTTTTTATAACGTGAGAAGGAATTTTAAAGTAGTTCCATATAATATTGTCTGTTTTTGGCATAGTCTTCGCGACTTTATTGTTTGTTTCACCTAAAAGATCCTATACCAATGTAGATGTTGTCCTATACCTATATACTCATGATCTTTCCCTTATTTAACTAATATGAGACTTTAATCACATTTTCAATAGTTCTCTTCTCGAACAAAGTACCACTGAACCTCCCTTCAAATGGTCATTCATACATCTAACTCTTATTCAAGCTAACTCCTCTTCTTCGAAGCACACCATCCGTCCGATAAAGCTCAACCAAAGATGATTAAGTCTCCCAAGATTATCCTCAGATTGGTATAAAGCATTTCCATCTTAAATTTCAAAGATACTCTCAGGCAAATACTGTCATAATATTTATTTAAATTAAAAACCCATTTAAAGCAAAAAGAAAAAAAAAATCATATTGTCAATTTCTTGCTACTTCTATATGCATGAAAAGGCAATTATGGCATTGATCTGATGCAACAAATTCAAGTAATTTAATTTTCTTCATGTGCCAAATTGTAGAAATACATACAACCTATTTTATTGCATAAATCATATACATGCACACTTAATCTACCAAATTTATTTTCTTTTTTCATTTTTTTTTCTTGAATTTCTTTTTCAATCAAATGCACTATTTTCCACAAGAAAATTGCAAATCTTGGGTTGATTCAGGTGCCACTCTGGAGCAATAAAATTCAATACTCAAGAGATGGCAATCTGCAAAAACATTTTAAAGAACACTGTTAATTAAATTGTCAACAAGGTAAAATTTGAGGCTGGATGAATAATTATTAGACCTCTAATTCACATGAATGACTTCAATTGTATTTTCTTTTTGCAATTAGATTATTAATTTTACATTTTTTTTCCTGATAATATTGCAAAAGTAATAGTTTGCTTTAAATCTCGTTTTAGTCTGATTTCGTTCCCATATCTAAATTTTGCATAAAAAATTATTTTAATCCTTGTCAGTAGTTTTTTTATTCTATTAATTATTTAGCAAAAACGTAACACAAACCTATGTTTTCTTCATTAATTCAATAATTATATCTACGTAAACAAATATTTAAAATCACTTGGGTTAAATTTTAAAATAATTCAAATTTATGTTTAAAAAAATAATGACAAACCATAACTAAATTAAATGTTCATTCAGAACTGAGGGACCAAAACATAATACTAGAAAGTTGTGGGGGCAAAAACAGGAACATTAAAAAGTTGAAGGATCAAGAGGTATACAAGTGCGAACGGATAAAATAGAATACTAAATTTTGTCCTCGTATCATTGAGAAATTGACAACTAATTATTTTTTCAAAAAATCACTGTTAATTATCGATTATTTAATGACAGTAAAAATATGATGGATCCTAGTAATTAAGGAGCCAAATATTTTTTTTCAAGAGGATATTATTGTAAGAAAATGTAGAAGATTAGAAACTAACCCCAATTTGAGAGAAGTATCAGAGCTGTCATAGTCTTGAGAAGGGTTTGATGAGCTGCAATTATTGACTATGGACTCAGAAGAGTTGCCTTGCATGTTCTGCATTTGGTCTGTCATTTTCTCCACCTCCTGCTGCCACACAGAAATTCAATCATTTTTAACTCTTAACCCTGCGGAGCAATCTTGTTTTTATCGCCTTAAATGTTTTATAACTAAAAAAAATGTAAAATAGAGACCTTTATAAAAATGAATGAGATATCCATTTTCAACGACGGTGAGAACAAGATTTGTACTTCACCATAAGGAACCAAATATTTTCCTTAAAAAAAACAGCATAATAGTGAAAGAGAGACTCACTAGCTGGTTCAATCTCTGGTTCTCTTCCACAAGCATATCAACCTGAATTCAGGGTGTAACAAACAGAAACAATGCACATGCAAATATGTTAAGCAATAACTATAACAAAAATTGAAACTTAAATATTCAAGATGACCAATCATATGACCACAGATCAGAAGTCTCAATATTCAAATTCCATATCATCGTCAAACAGGGTTCAAGCTTAATCTTGGGTTTCAAAGTAAGAAAAATGTAGGCCAAAAGAGCAAACTTCTTCACGTATAGTATAGTTTTTTTTCTCCTTCCTCCTTAATATTCATTAGTGTCCAAAATTAGTTTGCGTGCACCTCGACTAATCTTATAGGACAACCGTCCGATCTTACTATATTTGGTTGTCAAGGTAACTCGTAAGATATTAAATCTTAAATAGGTGACCACCATGGTTTGAACTCACTCTCTAAAATTTTTGCTATTTACATCTTCAGGTATATTATAGTTTTACCTACAATAGTTTACTTTACTTTAGTTCAGAGTGGAGCCACAAATTTTAATGGGAGGCACAAGATTTTATGATCTAAGTTTTTATATATAATCTTTCAATTCTGACAATTTAGGGTGAGGCAAATTAAACAAAATTTTAAAATCTTTATACAAGAGGGATCAAATTTTCTCCCTCATTACTTTTTTACCCCGCCCCTAATTTAAATAACTTTGTATCATTCAAAAGTATCTCTGGTTCATTTCAGAACATCACAGAATGGCTTCCACACAAATTAGTCCAGCAAGTTCACAACAAATAGCAAGTATTGTAAAAGGTAATACAGAGCACAAGAAGTATCACATAAATTAATTAAAGTGGTTGGATAAAGAAGCCTTTACTCTGTTTATTCAGAAAGACAAATAGACATTTACTTCTTATCGAGTCAAAATTATATAGTTTAACTGTAGAATAGTTACTAACTGTTGCATAAATAGAAAAACAAAGAATTCAAAACACATTCAATGACATGGGTTAAGGTAGACTTAAAAGTTAAAAATATTAGAACTCTTTCCACAAATTAAACATGCATCAAAAGACAACTTTATTTAAAGGACGACTTTTTTTTGAACTACCTTAAATGCATGCATGCATTAATTGTTTGATACATGAACTTCAAGGTTCATGAATGTTAATTATCAGGCCAGATCTTCTATTCAATTGGTAGTTCGTGTACCAATATTTAATAGGCGTCTTATGGATGCATGTTTTGAACTAGCTCCGAGAAACCTGCCTTCAATGCACTGCATCTGAGAGAGCGAGCAACCGATGTCATGGGTCGGGACTTACCTAACCATCTTGCCTGCAGGGCTGAGGCATTTGAGGTTCATCCTGCACCTCGTTAAAGGGTACCAACAGAAAGGGACCGAGGAGATGCTAATTCCATCGCACGGATAACCAATGTAAGAACTGATTGATTATGCTGGCTCGACATACTTTGAGGTATGTCAAATCAATGAGGAATTGGGTTGTATCTATGTATACGTATATATGAATGTATTTATGTACAGAAGTCATATCTTCGATTTGTAGAGCCCAAACGTCCCCTCAGACATTGGAAAGTTCAGATTATAAGAAGATTTTGAAGTGATCTAAACCTGTTCTAGAGTTGTCTTAGACACATGTACCTGAATCAATTGTTTGGTAGATGGATTTTAAGATTTATGTAAGTAATTATATGCATTTACTAATGCTAGCTTAAAATTTAATTGCAATATTCAAAAATTTTTAGTAGAACTTTTCTTTTCCTGCATATTCTTGTTTATTTTTTATTATTTTTAGATGGAAAAACGATCCGAAATGGACGTCAAGCCTAAACTTTCTGAGGTATGTACCCAGTCTTATATCTCGTTTTCCACCTCTGCTACTAGTAGTGATAGTTACCGTTTCTACAGAACTATTGAGCATATGTTGTTAAGCAGTAATTCTGAGTAAATTTTGGTTATAAGTTGGTAAGAGTAATAACGTGACACCTATCCTAATTTAGTTTTTTTTTTTTTTTTTAATGATAGTCGAATAATTGAGGTCCACTTATGGCCTATCCCACTAATTTCTAGAAAACTTCTTGAACTAAAAAGGCCAACCCAAAGAGACAATAAAGATTCGTATCCAACCAACTTATGTGAACCGACTATTTTCACCAAACAAGCTACAAGATCTCTGACATCTGCAACATATGACCGTAATGTCCGCTCCTTACATTATGCTCGTGACCAATCCCACTAATTTCTAAAACGACTTCATCAACTCAAATGTCAACACGAGGAGACCATAAAGATTTTGTATCAAGGTCAACTTATGTGCACTGATTATTCTCACCAAACATACTACAAGATTCAACATCTACAACATATGACTGTGAGGTCCACTCCTTACATTTTGCTCATGGTCAATCCCACTAATTTCTAGAAAGACTTCATCAACTCAAAGACCAACTTGAGGAGACAATAAAGATTTTGTATCCAAGCCAACTTATGTGCACCGACTATTCGCACCAAACAGACTGCAAGATCCAACATCTACAACATATGACCGGAAGATCCATACCTTATATTATGCTAATGGTCAATCCCACTAATTTCTGGAAGGACTTCTTCAACTCAAAGGCCAACTTGAGGATACAATAAATATTTTGTATCCAGGCCAACTTATGTGCACCGACTATTCTCACCAAATAGCTGCAAAATCCAACATTTACAACATATTTTTGCAACGTCCACTCCTTACATTATGCTCTCATCTCCAATCCCACTAATTTCTAGAAAAACTTCAACTCAAAGGCCAACTAAAGGAGACAATAAAGATTTTCTATCCTGACCAACTTATGTGCATAGACTATTCTCATCAAACCGACTCCAAGATTGATCTGACATCTACAACATATGACTGCAAGGTCCACTCTTTACATTATGCTCATTGTCAATCCTAATAATTTCTAGAAAGACTTCATCAACTCAAATGCCAACTCGATGAAACAATAAAGATTTTGTATCCTGGTTAACTTATATGCACCGATTATTCTCATCAAGCATACTGCAAGATCCGACATCTACAACATATGACTCTAAGGTCCACTCCTCACATTATGCTTTCATGGCCAATCCCACTAGTTTCTATAAAGACTTCATCGACTCAAAAACTAACTTGAGGAGACAATAAAGATTTTGTATCTAGACCAACTTATGTGCATCGACTATTCTCACCAAACAGACTGCAAAATTGATCCGACATCTACACGTATGACTGCAAGGTCCACTCCTTACTTTATGCTTATTGTCAATCATACTAATTTCTAGAAAGACTTCATCAACTCAAATGCCAACTCGAGGAAACAATAAAGATTTTGTATCCAGGCCAACTTATGTGCACCGATTATTCTCACCAAATAGACTGTAAGATTCGACATCTACAACGTATGACTGCAAGGTCCACTCCTTACATTATGCTTATGGCCAATCCCACTAATTTTTAGAAGGACTTCATCAACGCAAAGGCCAACTCGAGGAGAAAATAAAGATTTTGTATCCGGGCCAACTTATGTACATCAACTATTCTCACCAAACAAACTGCAAGATTCGACATCTACAATATATGACTTGCAAGGTCCACTCCTTACATTGGCTTGTGGCTAATCCCACTAGTTTCTAGAAAGACTTCATCAATTCAAAAGCCAACTTGAGGAGACAATAAAGATTTTATATTCGGGCCAACTTATGTGCACCGACTCCCTTATGTGCAAGATCAGATATCTACAACATATTACTACATTATGCTGGTGTCCATTCTCACTAATTTCAATAGAAGCTACATCCACTCAAAATGCAACTTTAGGAGACAACAAAAGTTACATTTTTTTTGTTGTTGTGCTATGAGTATTCGGTCCATCTTAACGGGTACTTACTATTCTCATCGAATAGATTGTAAAATCGCACATCTACAATCTACTACTTTTAAGAAACACTAAGTAGGTGACCATATTGCTCCAACTTCTTTCCTAAGCCTAGTAGAATTTATACTAGGTCAACCAAAATAATGTTAAATTATCGAGTTTTTTCCTTTGGATGAGAGGTAGGCTGGTATGATTTCACCTCTGGCACTGGGCCAACGACATTGGTGGATCATGTTGAGTGGCCTAAACAAGGTGCATTATAAAAGTGAAAATGGGTGGTTGGGAGTCTATGAATCAGCACATACTTGAAAAGTCAACCATACTACAGTTTCGGAAAGGGACCACACTGCGGTGCGGGCCTAACCTCAACAGAGTTGAGAATAAGCATGTTGCCCTGAATCCGACCTTGCACCAACCCCAAAAGTTGTAATTATTTGGAAGATATTTATTAAATCCTTACTTATATATAATGTATTAATTATCATAAAATTACTAATACAAACCAACAAGTTATAATTTATAAAAAAAAAAATCCCCTTTTTTCCCCTAAAAACCTACACTATATTTATTACTATTTATTTAATGTTTTTATTTATAAAATGCTGAAGTTCCTTGAAGAATTTGATCCCTATTTAGAGATATGACATGGATATCCTCCTCCAAATTAAACAATCTAAGACCTTTCTTATTTCATGGAAATTGAAATATTCTTGTCATGGCTGTTCAAATTCCTACATTTGATGCATTGGTAAAAAGTGGATGCTTTGATGTCAAAGATCCCAATGGATAGTCATTAGTTTGACACATTTACCCCTTTGACAATTCAACCATGTTAATTTACAATGTGCATCTAATTAGTTTTAGTAAATCAGTTAGTATTAATTTTACTGATAAAAACTATTTTGAAATATAGTAATATTGAACTTATGTGTACTAAAATTAAATTGGATGCTTAAATTATGATGGTCTATTAAAATAAATTGCCAACTCAATATTTGGTTTGAAAAATTTAACTAACATAAAAATAATATATTGTTGTTGAAGCAAGCCACCTTTCTATTTTATATATTATCATTCACAAATCCTACAAAAAAAAAATAGGTACAGTTTTTCTCAAAAAGAAAAAATATGTAT